TTCAGATGACATTTATAATAAGTATGTTTTATGCAAATCAATTAGATTTGTTAAGGATACACTTTATAGTGCTATCAATTGTTTGAATAGTTCAATAAAAGTTTTTGTTGGCAATCCTTCATTACTAATTAAAACAATACTGCACAAATGCTTTTAATTCTTTAACTGGAAAACAAATTTAATATGTATCTTTTAAAAGGTTAAAAGTTATAAATCCAATTACAAAATGCTAACATTTATTGACCATTTCACAAGTTCTTGATATGTTATTTTTAAATATAATAACATAAATTTTTTTCAGATTGTTTAGAGGTACATCTTAGTTTTGTGAAGACTAATAACCAAAGAAAAAGGAATTACTGACAGTGTTATCTTCCTCAGAAACTCTCATGATAATTTTTTTTATCTTTTTCTTTAAGCTGATGCCACACACTTACCTAGAGATAGAAAAGGCTGGATAGGGGAGAAGGGAGGATGTTTAAAACTTATTAAATTAGTTACGAAAATTTGGGGTACTAACTGATGTGGTTTCTAGATTTCAGTAAGATTCGTAAGCTTAGACTTCTTTGATGTCTGTGATTATAGGTTCACTCACATTTTTCTGAATGTTAGAGTTCGTTCTTGGAGCGTGGGTGTTAGGTTCAAGAGATTTTTCTCTGGAGATCCCCAGATTTGAGCATTTAAGATCACAAGTGTCATCTTCTGCTCACTCCTGTTCAGCCTCCTTGTGTAGTTACTGCCAAACCTGTGTCCCCACTTCAAAGAATTTGGGGCGTAGAGCTGCTTTGGGGCTGCAGGAGCTGTAGGTGTGTGTGTGTGGGTAAAGCAAACAGGGTGAACTCTGTGTGACTGTACCCCAGAACTGCCTGAGGGGCGCTGATCTTTGTGGCACACGTGAGACGTGAAACCTACGCAACCTCTGGCTTGCTGCTTGTTAATTGGCCCGTTTTCTACTTCATGTCTGGATACAACATTCACCTAGAGCTAAATTTTTTAACTTGATTGTTTCAGCAACATTATACGTATGACTTTAACTTTCTAGACACATTAAGTAGTTGTTTGTTTTTAAGTTTAAAGTAATCATTGATTGGTTTAAGCTTATTGACTTCAGAACAAATAAAACTCTTAAATGGCATATATATTTATATATATCATATCACAAATTTTATATCTATATATAAAAGTAAATAGATATAAAATTTGTGATATGATTTTTAGAAAACACATTAAATCAGAATCAACAAAATACTGGATTTTTTAAAATTATGTGACATAGGATAGACTTGAGTTTCCAATTTGAGAAAAGCATTTTGAGAGATTTATGAATTTCAGCATATCTGCATTTGGTTTTCCTTTTTGTTATCAGCCTTAAAATATTTAGAGTGGAAAAAAACAAAGCCTTTTATAATTTAAATTAGCATTATTCAGAAGGCCAATCCGATAGCTTAAGTATTATAATTTAATACACTTAAATAGATTAGTTCGTCAACAAATTGACAGACTTATATGCAAACTTTTGTTGTAAATGTGTTTGTCCAAGAAGTGTGGCTGTCCGTTAACTCCTTAATCACTTTTTATTGTAATTTGAAAGGCTCTGACATTTGATGCTGAACAGATAATGACTAATTTTTAGCATGCTTAGTTGGTCCGAAGGTTGTGGGTTATTGTTACGCTGATTAATTTTTAGCATGCTCAAATTAAAGAATCAAATCAAAGTACTAGCATGTCTTTTGTAATAAATGTAGTGTTGTCGCATATAAGAATGTGAATTTTAGAAATTCTTAGATAAACTTATCCTCTACACTTGTAAGCCAGTATTTCCCACAATGTATTTTTGCCATTATTATAGCAAGATATTAACAGATACTAGGTGAGGGAGTAGATTCTGTGATCAAATGATTATTCGTCATTGTAGAATTTTTGGGACCTTTTGTATGCACATTTGCAGAGTAAATCTGAAAAAAATAGTATAGTGAACAAAAACCTGCTCTTTAACAATTTCACTCATTTTCCTTTTCTGTGAGTACAGCATTGGATGTCCGAGTTGAAAGTTTAGAAATTATGTGTTTTATTCCCCAGCCAGAGAATGAACAGCTCTTTTTCTTGCACTGACTTCTCTAAATTGCTTTTTCATTCCTCAGGGAAAGAAAAAAGAAGACTTGAGTTTGGTTGAAACCAAAATAACATTATTGAAAATATTATTCCTAGGTTATTTTTCCTTAGGAAAGAAGACCAGCAAAGAAAAATGAACTTGCTGGTGAAAGAATTTTTTTTATGATGGATCTCATTATCAATAGGGTGCATTCTTCTCCAAAGATATTATTGTTTGTGGAGTGTTTTCCTTATGAGAATAGGTTGATGACGTGTAGAAAAGGAATGCGATGGAAAATAGGCATGTTGGGTTTCAGTCCTAAGGATTAGCATCATAGGAGAGTTGTAAGTTGTAAGTTATATGTATATTTACCTGTTTGCTGATGGCATATTCTCTAAGGCGGTCCCTTGATATTTCATTGGTTAAGGCTCTAACAGTATATTTCCATTTAGGACCATCTATAGATGATGATTGAGTCCGGAGTTGAGAGATGTGTTTGAGATTGGAATTTAGTTGATAACACGTTTAAAAGGTTAAGATGCAAACTCTATTTACCGATTGATATCTCTCTTATAGCTCCCAGTTATCTGTTACATGTAAGTGATAAGATCATCATCAAAACCTGACTCTATAAAATCTCTAAACCATTACTAAGCAATATTAAACCAATATACTTTAACACAAGGGTCCCACCAACTGTGGCCCGCAGCCTATTTTGTAAATAAGGTTTCATTAGAGTACAGCCGAATTCATCTGTGGATGCATTGTCTGTAGCTGCCCTCATGTTACAGTGGCAGAGTTTTGGCAGACGTGATATGGTATGTGAAGTCTAGGATATTTACTGTTGGGCCCTTTACAGAAAAAGTTTGCTAGCTCCTTCCAGCATGTAACCCATACTACCTAGTAATCAGAAAGAATCTAATGTAGCTTCATCAGAGATTGATGTCCAGAAAATAGTCTAAATATTAGGAAAGACATATATTTGTGTGTGTGTGTGTTTGTGTGTGTGTATGTATGGATTTGTATGTGTGTGTATGTATATATGCATATGTAAAATGTATTTAAACTTTTGTCAGTTGGTGCTATTCATATTTAAAATACTATTTTCAAACTATAATATCAAAATGAAACATTCTAAAAAAATATTCCCAAGCTCTCAATTTAGCTAATATTCTTTCAGTATACATCTTTTTCGATGCCTGAATGGCATCACTTCCTCTGGGGTAAATCTTACCTTATTTTTATCTTATATTTTGAGAATATCTCTTGAGGTACAATCAATTCTAGACTTGTATTTTAATCAATTAATAGATATGATACGATACTTGACTATATTTCACATTCCTGTTATGGAGGCACTCAGTTGATTTTATGTCATTCAATTGATGTTAACATGATATGTATGTTCCTATTTTATAATTTGATACATAGCATAATCAATTATCAAATTTTTATTAAAATGTAACTTAAAATGAACTGAGTGCCTCACTTTATTGAATAATTGATTTGAATTTGCTGTTATACTTAAGGGTCTTATAATGTAAAGTCTTTATACATTATTTAAGATTTTCTTAGTCCTCTTTGAAACCTTTCCCCTTCATACTATTTAATTGATTTCTACTTAAAATTTGTTGCTATTAAGAACTATCAGATATATAACATTTTTAAGAATTAATATTAAAATGACTCCCTTTAAACGGGCATATTTATATCCAGGTATCTTTATTGCAGTTCCAAGTTATGATCTTAGGCAAGGGGTATGTGTGAGTGTATTTACATTCCTACCTACACTCAGTGCATTTACTTGACAACATTTTATCATAGTTGCCAGCCTATTAAGCTCTGATTATTTTTCCCAGATTGAAAATTTGTAGTGTACAATTGAGATTTAGTTTTTATTTATTTTACTTGAGAAATGGAATCTATTATATAATAATAAAAGCATAATATGCTAATTAGACCTGACGTCCTTTTGGGCATCCTTCCGGGTGACCTTCAGATGAAGCCCCTGGCCATTGGGGCAGTGGGAGCCCAGCCCCTTGAACGATTTTTGTGCACCGGGCCTCTAGTTTTCCTATAAAATGTCTTTAATAAAAATCACAAGTATACTTTTAAAGCACTTTCTTTATATTTGCTAAAATTTGCTAGTAGAACTTAGTTCTTGTCCTAACCAAAGTTTCTAAAGAGCCCTTAACTGATGTGTCTTTGGTAGCACCTGTTATAGAGAGCATTAATCTCGTTTTAATAAGCTTACCATCTCATTCTCTCACCTCGTTAGTTTTTTTTTTTCTTTTTCTGAAATGACTGCAGTAATACTCCGTGCCTTTACTGTCATGATTTCTTCTGAGTAGTAGTATTCTAAGTACTTCTTTATTGATCCCAGTTCTTAAAAATTCAAGTTCAAAATATATTGATAACTGCACCCACATATATGTTAGGGCAACCTGTTTTAATACATGGGCTAATCTTATTAGCCCAATTGTAAAATTGTATTTGAAACCAATTAAACTTACAACTTTTCTCCATTAAATAAATCAAGTCTTTATGTATTATAATCCAAAGTTTTTATAATAGTACGCTTGTCAAATTTATGTGTTGTCAAATTATGTTCATTGACCTACATGTACCAGAAAGTGTTTTATTATCTAGTGAAGATTTGTTTGTCTTTTGTTTAAATTCATTTGCATTTTCTTCAGATTAAAATTATTTAATATATTTAATAATCATGCTTTTATTTGCAAAATTGCATACTTTAAATATATCTAAAAACAATACATTTAATTTGTATATATTACCTTGAGTGACAATAATAAATCAGCCTAGCATTTCTTCTTTTATACATCCTGTTACTATGGGCTCACAAATAAGAACTGAACATTAATTTTATGGGTTTTTTTCTACTCGATAGGTGCTATGGATATAGAGGAGAGAAATCGCCAAATGAAAATTAACAAATACAAACAGGTAGCCGGATCAGACCCCAGACTGGAACAAGATTACCATTCAAAGGCAAGACATTTTTCTTTTTAAAAGTTGTAAAATACTCAGTTAATCATATGAAGCCATTAGGTTCTCTTAAACAGCTGACTGCAGATTAGTCAAACATGAACATATAATTCAGAAGCCCCATGATATTATTAAATGCTGAAATTTATTATGTATGTGTATATCGACTTTCAGGTATAGAGTTTGCCTTATATTTTAAAAAATCACTATATAATATAAAAAGTAAAAGGAATGAAACTCACAGATGATCTGAAAAAGAATTACTTTAGAATTTTTTATTTTATTAAACCTATAAAGGATCTAACACCCTCAAAATGTTTAAGAACTATTATCTTCTTACGGTTTTCCTACACACAAATAGAATTTTTATTTTATTTTATAGTATTTTAACTGACTCTGGTTTATAAATGAGGTATTAGAAAATATATACATACTCATGAGATGGTGTAAGGAGTTCAAAAGGTTTTTTAGCCAGAGTCTTTTTAAACTACTTTTTGGGAATTCGTTGAGGTGTGAGGTTTACCAAGGTAATAAAAAGTATTATTTCATTGCTCTTGCTCTTCATTGACTTTATATTTTCAAAATATTTTAAAGTTCATGATACTATTAATGGCCAAAATCATGGGAAAACTTGTTCTAACGTACCTATTTAAGAGTTAATAAAGGAATGGAAATCACAAATCTTCCTCACAACATTTAGTTATTATGTATTCTATGATTTAGTAATGTAATCATTGCAATCATGTCATATTTGTGGTTTATTTACCTGTGTGATAGAGAAAAGCAGTTTGGATTTTTATATACTTACATATATTTTATCCTTACCTCCTAAACCTTCAGTTTCTCTCCATTATACTCCATTCTTTGGGAAAGTCAAGACTTAAGTAAACATATGTGCACATGTGATAAGCAGGAGGAGTTTCTAGATTCTCCACTATAGAACCTAGAATAGGCAGAGATTCTTACATCGGCATCATCTTTCAAGCCACAGGCTCTTCCCCAAATACGGACGCTGAGAACATACAATTGTTCATCACAACATTCTCGTGTGCTGGAAATGGCACAGTTTAAAGCCAAGGGAGGTAACTTAAGACAAACAGAAATAGCCTTGCCTTTCCTCACTGGGTTCTAAGCTTTAGAAATTGTCCCCTAAAATAAAAGTGTGAATAATTTCCAATAGGTTCAGTGAATTTCACAGAAAATAGCTTTTTAATGATATATTTCAGATACATCTCTAATGTTTTGAACTTGATATCAGAAGTGATAACTATGCCTTCCCAGGTATTTTTTTTTTTATATTCTGCCTTGGGCTATCCAGATAGGCCTGATCTTATGTGGCTTCTGTTAGGATCTGACCTCTCATTGATTTCCTATAATCCTAAGACCAAGGCATGAAGTCCTAACAAAATAGGATATTAAAACTTTCGTAAACATGTCTTCAGATAACACACATTTATCTTATTTGCCTGTGTATGCCCCACTATACTTCAGGAATGTAGGTCATTTTTAAAAATCCATACAAAACTTGCAATAGTATTGTCAATGAAGAAATGAGTATCAAGAGAAAATGAAGACAAAGACTAAACAAGGTAAATTAAAGTTTGTGAGCAAAATGCAACGTGAGATCTTAGACACCTGCTGTATGTGGAGTTTATACTATGGCCATGAGCTTCCTAACAAAAGCAGCAAAGGCAGAAAAGAGACTGTGTTGGCTGTATGATTTACATAGTTAATTACAATAAAGACAAGTTCCTTACAAGCAACCGCAATGATAATTCCTGGATACGTGACAGGAATTTCTTACTGGAGCGTTGACTAAAGAATGCTATAGGCATGATTCAAAATATTTTTCAGAAAAACAAGTTTTGATTCCATTCCAATTTATACATAAATGAATGCCTCTGAGGCTTCACACGTACATAATTTTGACACTATTTATTGTAGGCTAGACAAAATGGAAGTCTTGGCAAAGGACTAAGTATACTGAGCAATATAATTTCCTAAACACCCTCTATGGCAATGGTTTTCAAGTGGTTTTCCTGGAGGATCTGCATCATCTGAGGACTTCCAGGATGTAATTCTCTATAATTATAGAGGGTTCTTCATCAGTCAAGGGCACATATAGATTCAGTTATTATTAATTTACATTCTAACCATTCCTTAGATTAAAATTCTCAACAGCATTTTTTTCTTTTTAATTATGGATATTCAGCTTTACATTTTCATTCTTTTCTTCCTTATTTTGATAACAAATGCCAATTAAAAGCTTGCTATTGAGCTAAGTACTCTAACACGTTTTATCTAATTCTTGAGAAAAAAATCATTTCACAGATGAGGGAACAAAGATATGGAAAGTGTATGGAATCTACCCAAATGGGAAGCGTTACTTGTAGCTTACCTGCTTCTCCAATGTGGCTATCAGAGATGGCCTCCGGAGCCTGAGACATGCGGAGCACGTGCTGTGCTCCTGAGCCGAGTTCCTGAAAAGCCAGCGAAGCTGTCAAGGAGCGTTGATGTGACGTCATCAAGCGCTCGCCAAGTTTCTTTTTTAACTACACTCTGCACGTTTTACATGGCATTGCCTCCCTGCAGTGTGCAAGCTTCTGTGCTGATAGTTTGTAAGCAGTGCTTACTGATCTTCTAAAAGTCTCTTTAATAACTCACCATGAAAGCATCTGTAGAGAAATGCCAATTGTTACTGTTGTCCTAAGAATATTCTAAGTATATGAGAAAATGAAAAGCAGAGCGTCTATATTTAAGGCAATTGCAGATATGATTCCTATTTAATCAGTGGATGATTTCTTGGGGTTTTCCCCCCTCCAAACAGAATTTAACTGTGTAGCCAATGCCCCCCGTTCAGGTCTATTGCATTCTCCTTATCGATTCTACTCTTGGCAGATGTTCAAAGATCAACTTTTATTTTTTTCTATGAAACCAACATTCTTTGCTCTTCAGTGGTTCAGAAAAATGGAATTTGTTTATTAAATTTAACAGAGCAAATTATAATTCAGCATAGACCAACTGCCCTTCTGGGAGTTAGATAATGATTCATTAATAAAATTAGCAATAATTGAAAATCAAACCATGTAGATAGTATATCTGCAAGTTGATATGGGGAATTTGATTATTTTATTTAAATACGATTTTTACTTTTTACATTAGCCATATTTAATATTTTAGAATTACCCCAGAATATATTTTTAAAAGGGCAGTCCATAACATTTCAACAGAGACTGCTTTATAGTTCATTGGTACAGTATTTATTTGGAACTCAAAGCCTGTTTCTCTGTATAACCAGTGACCTATATAAAATGGTAATAATATTCTCACAGAATCGTCATAGAAGTCTTACCCCAATCATAGCACTTAGATTATTATTTTCTGAGTTCTTATTTACCTCTCTAGAATTAAGTAATATAGCCCTAAATTGCTCAGAAGTTTTCAAAGTGGACCATAAGTCCATACTAACTCATTCTACCCATAATCTATTGTAATATATGGAGTTACTGCTGGGGGTCAGACAACAGTGTACACCCCATCCGAGGCACTGTCACCTTTTCACCCAGGCTTTCTGTCTGTTAAGGGCCTCTTCCCCACTTTCAGAGGCATGTTAGAAAGAAAGCAATCAAAGTAATTTACATTAAGATATGCATAAAAACACAAAAATAGTTTCATGTATTAAAAATACACACACACACACACACACACATCATGTAAATAGAAGTAAAACTCACACGATTGAATTGTAGGCCATATCAATATACAAAAAAAATTAAACAGGTAAAGACAAAGTGGTTTTGGCAAGTAGATAGCCACTGTTAACTGAGCTGTCTGTTCCCTTTATTAGATCTTAGTCTCCCCTCAATACTAAGAATACACATTAAATGCCAACCTTACGTGCTTTAAATTGACTTTCAAAACACAGCCTATAGGGACATCAGAGAGAGGCAGGGAGAAAGGTTGGAGCTCAGCAGGAGTGGCTGTTTATAGGTATTATGTTTGTACCTTTGACTACAGGATCATCCAAGTGTCCCAGCAGTGCATAAGAGTAGCTTGGAGTCAAGCAAACTCCACCTGGGGACTTTGGATAGGTTTTAAAAATTTATCAAACAAGACTTTGAGATCTATTTCATAGGACAGTAATTAGGGTGAGATGAGATCATGTATATCAATGGTTTAGCATTGAGTAGAATGCTCAATAAATGGGATAACTAATATTTGTAATTATTATTATTTTATAATAACATCAAATAGGCACCAGAAATTCATCACCTGCTGTATGTTTTTTTACATCATTCCAAGGTTGTTCCTTTACCAAGTGTGTTTATGAAGAGAAATAAAACTAAATTTTAAAATCTAGATAATTAAACTATTAAGAGTTACAGTAATTCTAGAATCGCAAGAAATATTAGTGCTAATCTTTATCATGACCATTTTTTAAAAATCTTTCTTCTCACCTACAAAATCAACAAGTGCTAATTAAAATAGAGTCATGGATTGAATGAAAAACTAGATAAGGTCATATTTTAAAAGATTTTATATTCTATTTTCTCTCTTCTGTGGTTTTATTCTTATTTATGTTTGTGAAAGTAGATTTCTCATTAATTAAAATTCACAAAGCTAGAATTAAAAAGTAAAAATTTTCCATATGAATTCATTTAGTTTCTTGACTTATCTTTGAGATAACAAAAGGAAGGGATGATCAAGGGAAGAGTAGCTGTTGCAAGTTTAACTCCTTGCTATTGGTGGGCATTACTGTAACCACACAGCAGCCACATTCACAGCACAGCTTCTAAAGTCTACGTGACTAGTAGCGATATGGAGGCAGTTTTGTTCATTACCCTTCAGCTTATTTTCAGGGATTATGACTGCAGAGTAGTGTTAAAAGTGTGGACTCCAAAACCAACTGCCAGGGTTCAAATCTTTCCTCTGTGGCTATTTATAATATGACCTTGGGCAAGTTGATTAACACCTTTGTGCCTAGATTTCTTATTCTATCAGAC